GTGTATAAATATTGGTCTAACAATTAGTATGAAAAGCGTCAGTAAGCATTTAACTCAATGATAGGTTGTGTGTGCTGACATGGTCATTGTGTAGACCATAAAACTTGTGAAATGATGACTTCAAACGTTACTGTTGATACATGTATCCTTGTTTCATCAACATGTTTGTCAATAGCTTCCCTCGTTTTAGAAATTGTTCATACGTAGAGCATGTTCTTGCGTATCGAATCAACTGAGAGACATATTAGAGCCATATGCAGATGATAAGGTTATATTGCTACATAAGTGAAGGAATTGAAAAGTTGAAGTCATCACGTTTATCATAAAGCTTTGTTGTTAGGTTACCATTAACGTCTTTTTCTAGTAAAATATCTAAATATGAAACAGATGTGTCCGACTCTGTGGTATCTTTTATTTCAAGCTCACTGGGATATATCGAGTCGACATATGAATGGAAGTATCTATTGTTAATTGATAATACGCCGTCGATATATCGAAGTGTCGAGTTGAATGCAACAACTTCTTCTCATATACATTGATTGATTGATTGTATGTTGTTTTACGTCCCATTCGAGAATTTTTCACTTATATAGAGACGTCACCATATACCGGTGAAGGGCTTCAAACTTCTCGTGTAGAAGTTTTTGAATAAATTCTGCTTCATATGAATACAAAAATAGGTCTGCTAATAACGGGCTATTTAATTGAGATGGGAATTCAAACAGATTGTTGGAAGACCTGATCTCCAAAACAACATAGATATTGTCAATCAGAAATTCAAGCATCTTTTTAATATCAACTTCAGAGTACTTGTTTAACAAAATAATTTTGCAAATGACCAATGACAAGGTAAGTATAGTTTCGAGTTCCATTTTTATTGAAAAAGCAGCTCATGTCTATGATATTAAAAAGCCTGGACCTCAATTTATCGTGGAGAATGGTTGTATAAAGTGTTGAAAAGTCGTACGTTTTGATGTTATTAATTTTAATAAAATTTTGTTATTTCAAATTTTCTAAAAGTTCCTTGGAGTTTTTCAGTATCCACATCTGATTTACACCACTTCTCGAATATACTGTTCTACAGTACTCCTGAAGTTTCTCCTTCAATACAGTGAATATTTTAGTGATGAGTAAAAAAGCTTGTTAAAACATTTACTGGAAACCGCTATATGTATCTTTGTTTGTAAGGATTTTCATGAAGTTTAGGAATAGTAATTTAAATTCATTTTGATTGTTGGGAATATTAAATATATCTAAAACGGACATATGATTTTGAAGAATTTCCTCTTTAGGAAGGGAGTTTTGGATTTCCATCTGCAGAATTAAATCCTATTTCCTTTAAAATACAATTCAAATAATGAGCCTTACAAACTAAACAAAGACTATGTTGTTTGCTTTGTCAGCTGGGACCAGTACAAATAAAAGGGGTCGGATCACATTGATTTCTTTGTTTTGTACATGGTCAAAATGCAAGGAAACAATGCATATCCGAAAATCCCGATAACGAAAACGTTTTCTTGTCATTCGTATTTAAACATGATTCGCCTACGCGGGTTTACTAGTAGTAAGTCACCTCCTTCTTATTATTTGAATCACATTATGATTCCTCAGTTTTTATGCTATGGTTGGTCGACATAGCATTTAAAAATATCTTCTTTACTCCGAACTATACATGGTGATAGTGACAAATGTGTCAACTAGCGGAGACATAAAATACTATATATTTAAACGTATCTCTTAATACATTGTGTCTAGTAATGTTTTTATACATATGATAAAGCAAGTTAAATTTCTTTATAAAAAAATATTATATATATAATTAATTATAAACTTTTATTATTGTTGTTTAATGTAAATGGTTAAATAAGTAATGTCATGCATTTTTTTTATTTAAATGCTGGAATTTGAGATAAACGGAAGGGAGATAATCTTTAATTTACTTCATAAAGAGTTACTTTAACATAAGAAATTTTAAATTATTTGTTTACGTGGTTCACCATGGCTATTAAGGTACAATATGTACTCTCCGGGTTGAAGTTTTTAGACTTTTAAAGAATTTCATCATCAAAGTGCTTTTTATGTCCCCCGTAATCGAAGATTCGGGGGTATATATAGTTTTTGTTTCTCTCTGTTTTTAAGAAAGAATATCTACCTTCATTAACACCGAAGTGTTTTTAGGATAAGAGCCTCTCCTTTGCATTTTCATTTTTTTAAAAACATGATTAAACATTTATATATATATATATATATATATATATATATATATATATATATATATATATATATATATATATATATATATATATATATATATATATATATATATATGACTTGAAATATAGCATAATGCCATTTAAAGAAATGAATAAAACTTTTCATCGGTTTAGAAAATGATGGTTGCTAATCATCAATAAAAAATAAATGAATGGAAAAAAAATACATTTTATAATTAATGGTTTACACATAAACATATGATATCGGATCAATATTATTTTTAATTGAACATTTAATTTCCAATATATGGGTTTGGTAATCTCTTTACTTCCACACACGACAAACACAGCGTATTATTAATTAACTGCCCTTGTCAACCGCAAGGGACAAATTCCGGCTTGATTTCCTGTAATTGAAAAGTGGGGAGGGGGACTTAAAGTAGAAACGAAATTTCAGGTGGATCCAGGAATTTTTACTGCAAAGGGGCGTGGAGTGTCCATACCCATTTATGAAAATTCCAGCTAATAATTTGATATTTTTTTTTTTGACAATGAAACACATACAACACTCAAGCACACAAAAAACGCATTTCATGATCAAAGGCACTTGGGGTATGGAACCCCCCCCCCCTTTTCCATTTTTTTTTTCTTTTTAAATCTGGGTTCGAGTCACCTTTTTCCTATTTTTGTATTCTAACATGCACTATATGTTATCAATAATGTAACTCTTTTGTTTCTATAAACTGTTTTTAAATATATCGTTTTCGACTGATACATCTTTTTATGTATCAGTCGAAAACGATATATTTAAAAACAGTTTATAGAAACAAAAGAGTTACATTATTGATAACATATAGTGCATGTTAGAATACAAAAATAGGAAAAAGGTGACTCGAACCCAGATTTAAAAAGAAAAAAAAATGGAAAAAAGGGGGGGGGTCCATACTCCAAGTGCCTATGTTCATGATGTGGGAGTGGCCGTCAACAGCTGACAAAAACTTTTCTTAATTGGGAAGGGGGGGGGGGGGTCCAGGGATTGGTGTTTCCCATGACTACTAAATAACTGCATGATGCTTCCAACTGCGGGTTTCCATTTTCCAATTATTAACTGCCATTACTCACATGTACATATGCATCTCATATTATCTAATGTATTAGCTTTAACACACATTTGCTTAATATACTAGACATTATTACCTTTTAATAAGAAACCAAAAAATGGCGGATCCTGGTTCCAGAGAGGAGGGAAAGGGATTCTTTCCCCCACTGGGTAACAAAATATATGTCAAGCATTTCAAACTTGAAAGTGAGGTGGGGGTGGGGGTGGGGGTGGGGGGAATCAGTCGAATAGATGTTTTCTCTCCAGTTTGGTATCATGTTGTAAATTTTGAATTTAGTAGGGGGAGGTAAATGCAAAATTTACAACAGGATAAATATCATTTCATACATTGAGATTATTTACTATTCCGACCAAAAAGTGGACAAAATGATGCCCCCCCCCCCCCCACTGGCGGATTAAGAGTGTCCAAAATACACATAATTATATGATTTAATAAGTCAATTTCTTTTTGGTGTGTCCGTGGGCCCCTACCCCGACCCTAAACTGGTCGCCCCCCCCCCCTTTCAAGATTCCTGGATCCGCCACTGTCCCTTCCCCCCTTTATTAATCTCAGCGAGATCCGTAGAAACTAAAAATTTTGGTTTGGTGACACCAGACCAAAATTTTAAAGTCTCTACGGATCTCGCTGAGATTACCCCTTTATGACAACGCAAGTCCATCCAAATTCAATTAAACTTTCAGGGCAAGCAAAATAAGCAAAAGGTTTCCTGATATGAAAATCCATACTATGAGGGTTGTTCAGAATTTACTGAGACATTTAACAAACACCAACGATATTCTAGTATAAAAGAGTGCTTCGGGTCAATTGCAAGTTTGAAAAAATTTTACCGGTACTTATCTAATGTTGCCATCAAGAGATTTTGCATATTTGTAGGTTCTTGATAACATTCTTGTGAACTTTCAAGAATTGATTTCTTCCCTCTCTGGAGTTACAGCAAAAGTTTCATCAGCAAAGTTATGAAGAAAAGGTGTGAAATGTGGGATGAGGGCAGGATTGTCTCTTCGTGTACACCCTTTCTATATTACACTCTATCTATAATCTCAGGTAAAGGATCTCTTATGGGAGACAATAAGTTAGAATCTATAGCAAACTTTTTTTGGGAAAAAAATATTGATGTCAGACTGCACAAATATTCAAGTTAATTCATTGTTTAACATCCAATTGGAAAGTACATCTATATCATTATATTTGAAATTCTTTCTCAAAATTGAAGATTTATTTTGAAGTAGATGACAAATAAATGTGACATGACATTTTTTTTTGGGGGGGGGGGGGGGGTAGGCTAGGGGTAATTTAGGGCTCATTTTTAGTGGTGTTATTACTATTTGTTTTACAGATTGTTACCTTACCTTTATAAGTAGATGAATTAAATATTCAACAGAAAGGAATGTGTCTGTTTGTTTGTTGGTTGATTCACAATGATCACTTTTCCCTACCAAATAATTTTTAAACCACCTGGATAAGAGGAGACAATATTTGGTGAAGTCAGAGCCCCAAAATACAATCATAATGTTCTGACAAAAATATTAGCTTAGAATCAACAGAAAGTTAAAGTTAGATATGCAGTGATTGGCCATTTAAGGAATTCCCTTCTTCAAAGAGCATTGAAATCTCATACAAACACAAAATGTGAGATAAACTGAACAATAACAAATGATGTTTCAACTGTGATATAAATGAGTATTTAATATTTACAATATATGTACAATGTGTGAGTTGATTTTAATGTCACTTAAGAACACTATGCTTCTTTAAATGTTGCTGATGCTTTACTTAGGCCAGTTCTCCTGTAAAAGGAAAAAAAAACAACATAGCATAACTAAAAGATACAAGTAAAAACATAATCATGATCATGTATTTAGTAAACAAGTTTATCATGATCCTTCTTATTTCGGATTTAGGATTTTACTCTTTATGTAAATTTTTAATCTTCAGCCATGAATTGTCTAAAATCTTGCTTAAATCTTGCCTGCATTTCATTTTTTGTCCATTTTCTGTTGCAAAATTGTCATGATTAAAAAAAAAAAAAAAATCTACTTTAGTTTTTGAGGGCTCTTAATTATAATTTCACTGAACATTAATTGCTAGAAATATAAATTCAAAATAATTTGTAATGAATATGGTCAAGTATTTACATGTACAATGCTTTTATGATTAATAACCCAGAATTATTCTTTATTAATGATAAGAAATAAAGATAACTGACTCATAACTTGTTACATGTATTTCAGATATAAGTAAAAATCAGTAAATATCAATAAAAGATATCTTAAAAATATATACAGTTGACTTTTGTACAGGTGTATCTTGAACACTGATTCTCAAATACCATGGATATGTTGAAGTGATTTGAGAGTCCCAACCACTTATTCTTTCAGTATTTTACCCCTGATATCTTGAATCCTCATATATCTGGAAGTTTTTTCTCAGTCCCATCGAGTTCCATATAACAAGGTTTGATATTAAGAACTCCCATATAAGTAAATCTAGGTTATAAGGCACTTTTTATTAATCCACTAGAAGACTTTTCACTGAGTTTCTTGCACGGATATAAACTTATAATATCAGTTAAAATTAGAAGCAAAAATTCAGATCCCAGTAACTTCCTTAAATCAAGTTTTACTTATTAATAAAAATCAGTAAAAGAAGAATAAACTCACGCTTGTGATAAGAATACATCAAAGTTGATTTTGTCTTCATTTGCACCTTCAATATTCTCCTCCACAGGTGATATACCAAGAGTTGTCATAGCTGTAAACACAAAATATAATGGTAGGATTACAATGATATCATACATATCAAATAGAAGAGAAACACAAAATATCACACAGTAAGATAGCACTGATATACTACATAAACAGAAAAGATAGAGCTGCACACAGGCTTCAAATCTCCTAATGAATGATACTTGCTAGAATATTTCTCACTTGCTTATCATTATAATTCAGTTACATTGAAGAGTAAGGGAATGCGTATAATTGGTAGAATGCATCAGTGGGACCAGATGCAATTTCAAGCAAAGAAAAACACAAATTAATCAAAAATTTATCTTAAGTTATTTTTAAACTAGTGTCTTTTATAGGGTGGAAAGGAAACAGTTTGGTTAGTGTTGACTCTATGGCAATTCATCTGACATGTCTATAGCTACAGTATTGTATCCAATTCATGAAGGCATAGTTACTATGGGTTGCTTAAATAATTTTGTCTTATATAATCTGGTAAAGATGAATAATGTCAGTTAATTCATGGAATAACTATCTTCTCCATTGTTATTTGTGACCGTTAATGCCGATTTAACGGTTGCAAACTGGGTTTTACTGACAACGCATCAGCAGAGCCGGTAAAACGGATGTTTATAACCGTTCAATCAGCATTAACGGTCACAAATTACAATTGAGAAGATGACATATATAGTTATTCCCACTCTAATGCAATTTATGCATTTTGTTTGATGTTAACGTCCTATATTGTTGCATTTTGTCATATGAAATACGTCATGAAGGGTTGTGTTTTTGTGTCGTTCTATTATGATGTCACAATCAAAAGCCTTCGTTCTCGTTAATACTCATTTAACTGCTTCAAACTTCAGTCCATTATAGCCAATCAAAATGCATTTTACAAAACAATCGCATTAGAACGTGAGTTTTACTGTTTACTTCATACCCCATGGCAAAGTGGAAGGCAGTTATTAAGCAGTTTCTTAACCTTAACAGTTTGAACTTTTTAGCAGTTCTGGAGCAGTTACTTAACCTTCCCCAGACTACTAATGGATAAACAAATTGCTTTCAAACCTTTTGTAATCTATAAGCAGTTTTCTTAGCCTTACCAGTTCGTAACCAGTTCGCAGGCAGTTCACAGGCAGTTTCTTAACAGTTCATAGGCAGTTTCTTAGCAGTTCATAGGCAGTTATTTAGGCAGTTTTTGCTAATTAACTGCTAGTGGACTTCCAGTAAACTATTATATACTGCTTATCTATTTCCCTTTTGCAACATAAATATTAATTAGTCAGGAGGACATTTTCTATTATCCAGCCTGAAATAATATGCAATTATAATAGATCTACCTTTATCAGAAATGCTTCTTACATTTTAAAATTAATTTATTGTATTTTGTACAATATTGTATAACACATTCAAAGTTTTAAAAAGTATCAAACACTGTTTTATACATCTCTTATTATAATCAGTGTAACTGATAATTTATACATATGTACCTTATTTACATACACATGTACAACCATGCAATTATACTTATGCACTGACTAGTAAGAAATCATATATCCCAGGGCATATAAATAATGTTCAACAAGATTCAACACTGAAGGAAAAAGTCAAAAGTACAGCAAATATTCACTTCATCCAAACACGACAAAGCCACAAATTAATAAATATATTGTACTTACCAATTGTTAAATGTCTACATCATTATTTCAATAAATCTAAAGCTTTGTGGCCAGCAGGCTCCCTCTTCATGATGCTTTATAGACTTTGTCCAACAATACAACATGGCAGCCAAAAACTGAATTTTGGCGGTCTGTTGTTGGGTTCCTGTTGTTTATATTTGTTGATCATTGAGCCCAACTTTAAAATTTCTCTTGAACCCAATCAAATTGTACAAGGAAACTGCTTACAAACTGCTTACAAAACTGCTAAGAAAACTGTCTTCTCCTCAAGCATAGGTGACCAAGATATAACTGCTAGGGAAACTGATTACTGCTTAAAAACTGCTAAGGAAAACTGTTTACTCCAAAGGCGCTAGCAGTCACAAAAGAACAGAAAAAGCCAAACTGCCTGAAACTGTTTGAAAACTGCTTAAAATTTGCAAAACTGCTAAAGAACTGCCTAATAACTGCCTATATAGGCAGTTCATTTTTCCATGGGACAAATACATAAAGCTATATACCTTCTTTATACTGTTGCATTGTGATAAATCCTCTATTTGTAGGATCCAGCATGTTGTACACTGACTGGATGTTAGTGTCATCAAACAGACAAGGATAGTCATGCTTTGTTGCCCTGGATCTCTGCAGCTTTTCAAGCAATTCTATCATATACTTCTTTGGATTTTCTGAAATATTTTCATTTTCTTGAACATATAAATTGCATTTGAAATATCCTCACATAATGCGTTTAATAAGAATTGTATATTTATCTTATTCGGATATTTTATACCATAAATTCTTTGATTCACATTGAGGACTGATTCTATCTAGGTACGATACTTTGCATAGAAGATCATATTCTACTGTGATACTAGTTAGAATGAGTCTCAGGACAGGGGTTCCCCAGGACAGGCCTATAGTTAAACGTGGTCCATAGAACATCATTATTTTAAGTACAATCCATATCTCTACCAGCTAGATCTATGACCCCCCCCCCTCCCTTTGAAAATATTTCACTCAAATTTAATGCCAAAATAAATTTAATTTTCAGTCAAGAAAACAACATTACCAGGTCTGTTGTATATCAGCTGAGAAGTCATGTTATTGAAAAGTTCCAAAACACGATGCTCTTCGAGATATTCCCTCGCTTCAACATCACGACCAACCGAACTCTTGGTGGACGACATCTTTGATTACTCAATTGCCATAGCAACGCTGGAAAAATCGTTTGGAAAAAAATGACAAACTATATTCTTAACTTTATCAGAATAAATGTTTACGGAAAATATCATTTGAATTAATTTCTATAGTTTATAACATAAATAATTTGTAAACATTTGTTATTATATCCGGGCAGTGAAAAAATGGCGGCGCGCACTTGTTTGTGTCGGGAAAATCAATGCTTTAACTAACACGTTAGCAGTTTAAAAGAGGAAATGTACAAAAAAATATCATTAACTAACAAAGAAGTCATGTTTGTTCTTTAAAAAAAGATAGGTGAGTGCAGGTTTTCTGCTTAATCCATAATTTTGAATTTTTCTGATCCGGTTTCATTACCATTCCGAATTAACTCGATGATTATATATATTTTTTTTAAACTTCAGGATCATGAAACATCTTAAGCTTAATCAAAATCTTTATGTTGTACTAAAATGTAGGAGAAGTCAAGCAGACCAATATTAAAATATTTTTCAATATTGCTGTACAAAACTGCAAATTATAGAGATCGGTTAAATAATTAATAAATATTTTACAGGCGATTGAAAATTTGACTTAAGTCTAATTCTGTTTCATGATCCTGGGGCCTGGAATTAACAATATTATGTACGGTTGATATGGAATTTATTTCACGAGTGGGACAGGCTTTTTTTATATTTTCAGCAGGTTGGGCACAATTCCCCTTTTCAATTTCAGTAATTGTCACGCTAAAAGGGAATTGTTCCTCTATTCAGTAATTAAAAACATAACTGTATACGGGAATTTTCACTCTTTTACCCTCTATTCTCGTGTTTGCTTTGAGTAAAAGATTAAGTGCAAGAATATTTTCACATCCTCTAAATATTTATAGTCTATTAATTATTATAAGTATAAGTATGCTTAAAACTATAATATTTATTGCTGTAAAAAGCTGAAAAAGAGTGATGAAATAATTCTGCGATAATAAGATTTCTTAGGGAAACTTATCTGTCAGTGTGTTAAAATTGTGAGTTTGAATACATTCAGAACTTGCTAATTCAAACATGAAAGTATTTGTTCTAATTTAGTTAAATGTCATTTCTTTCAAAGACATCGTAAAAAATAAGATTTCATACTTTTCGTATCATTAGTGCCCATCTTGTTCAAGAATGAAGTATGAGTGAAAATAAAAAAAAATCCTGCACTTAAAAATCTCATGAGTGAAATAAATTCCACTCCAATGACAAAAAATTGAATATCCTCTATTTATTGTTTATTTGCTTTTTTTTTTTTTTTTGCTTTTTACTTTAATTATTAAAAATTAAGAAGTAAGATAAAACTATCAGAGTTGTTAAGTGTTTCATATTAAGAATTTCCTTGTGATCAACTTAGATACATATTTGTTAAACTTTCAGGGAGGACTTTACAATGTTATACCCAGTGGAACACAAGACTGTGTTTGTACTAGACAGAGGTCCTCAGTTTGCACGATCCTGTAAACAGAGTATAGAGTATGATGTTATGTCCAAAACAAAGACGCCGGGAATCATACCGGCAGCTCCTATCATGAAGTCCATGTGGACATGTAATGTGGAAACCATGATCGAGTACATGAGGATTGTGTTTGACATTTTCTCGTCAAAACGATTGGTAAATGATGGATTATTTTCATGAAATAACGGAAATTGTTCAAATGATTTTTTTAAAACTATAATTCTGCAGTAAATTTTTATTATCAGTTACCAGTTGCAAGATTTTTTGTTTACCAGAGAGATTTTTAGTGTACATGTTCTAAAGAGTTGCCTCTCTTTTGTTACTGGTAAGGAGCAATAAATGTGAAAAAAATTGTAATATGAATTTAAATAACATAAACTGAATACCAAGTAAATTCATGATAAACATGATAAAAAAAAAAATGACAACATTTTTTTAGATTCGAGTGGTTGTAGGGGACGAAACTCTGAATGGCTGGCAGCAGAAAGATCAAAACATACAACAGGTAAGGAAAAAAAAATCAACAGGTAACACAACAATTTTTAAATCATTTAACAGGTAGTGGGACAAAACATACAACACATAACATGACAAAACAGGTATTATAATGTAACAGGCGGGGAAAAATGTCGGCCAGACTGGGACTCGAACCGGAACCTCCCGCTAACCGTTCGGGTGCTCTAACCACTGAGCTACCGGGCCGACGTACCCAGTCCCCGTTACAATAATTATCCTTCAGAATTATACAGTCAATCTGATTGTTTCAGAACATGTCACGTGCAGGGAGACAATTTGTGCATTTTATTACGAAAAATAAAAGACATCAGGTAGAATATTTTATTTCTTCTATAATTCAATTAAATTTTAAATTTGTACAATTTGAAGACATTTTTGAAGGGAAAATTTTGAAGGGGAAATTTCAATCCAATGTTTTCTTGGACATCCATGCCAAATATACCAACCAATTCCATTGTCTATCATTAAATGTTTTGATTGTAACAGATGGAAATGACGTAAGCTACAATTTTGCCAGTTAATGTTCCGCGGTCTTATGGTTTATAAAGCATAAACTATCCCAACTCAGGTTATACAGTATAATATTATTATACAATATCATTCCTTATTGGAAGTAATGTCAACTCTGACAACTGATACACTGATATTTATTTGAAATCCATTTCATGCATGATTGTAGTAGATTTAATTTCTAATTATGAAGTGGAAATGAATGAAATTCAAATAGAGTATTTGTTCCCAAAATAACTTTTACATCATCTAATATATCCACTCTCCATATGAAAAATATATCACTGGTTGATTGAACCTTCAGAAAATTTTTTATACCACTCCACCTTTGAATCGTAGCAACATAGGAAATAAAGAAATCTGGAAAAAGACAAAAACTGAAATATATATATATACGGTCAACCCTTGCTAATTCCAAAGTTTGTGCTCCCAAGAATCCAGGTTAATAAAGTATTCTGATTACTGAATCACACTTCTTATAACTGGTAGTAATAGATATATTTTTCCCCCCATCAATTTATCCACACAGTGAGGAATCTGGATTATTGGCATCCAGATCTCCTTGCTTGACTGGATATGATTTACTTTTTTGACAGGTGATGTTGTCACTTGGGCAAGTTGGACCCCCGAGTTCAAAATCAAAAGAGGAAGAGAATGTTATTCGAGGTCTCACAGAGGCAGTACAAGCGTTGTGTGACCCCACCGAACAACAGCAAGAAATTGACCGAGATGTCATACAGAATAAGGGGAGGATCATATGTCTCACCTCAGCCAAGAGGTGGGGGGCTATTTATAGAATCAATTTCCTAATGATAACAAAAAACAAAGTTTAAAATTTATATTGAAAGCATCGATTTTAGGACTTCAAGATTTGTTCAGAAGATGCCATCTTTCAAGGGTTTTAGATAATTTTATGGCTCATGTATCTATTTCCCTGATTCCTTGTCTTGTCTTCAACTTCAACTTAATGTTCATGAGTTTGGAAGCAAACAACCTTAAAATTTCATATTTTGAACTTGAAAGTGAAACACTATGATTAAGAATGTTATCTTGACCTTTGTGACATGGTTAAAGTCACAAGAAGTGATGTAAAGAATTTATTCATTTCCCAAACTTTGCAATGGAGAAAATTAAGAAGCTCATGTGTGCATCAATAAATTGAATGAATGAATGAAAAAAATTTGGTAAAATGTTAATGATGCAGACCACTATATGTTTATGTATAGAAAAATTTTTTTCAGTGAGAGCCAAATGAGAGCCTTTGAGGAGTGTGTCAGTGATGCCATAATACAACACAACCAGCTAGCTGAGGACTCTGTAAGGTAGGGGGACAACAATTATAGTCAAAACACAACAAAAACAACATAATACAACATGTACAACTGGCTGAAGACTGGCAAGGTTGGGTGACAACATTTGCAGTCAAAACACAACAAAAACAAGATAAACAACAAAACAATACAACCAGATGGCTAGATTCCATAAGGTAGGAGACAATTATTACTGTAACAAGCAGAACACAATTAAAACAAAATGCTACAACATAACCAGCTGGGCGAAGGCTCTGTAAGGTAGGCAGACAACAATTACAGGCAAAATACAACAAAACAACATCAACCAATCAAATGTTTCAGTGCACAACAGATGAAAATTTTATCTAAAACCACAAAAATTTCCTTAAATGTTAGACCAAAATGAGCTGTATGTATTATAAAGCTTTCTGCAGTTGTATGTCAGAAGTTAAATTCCTTGGTGACCTGTGTAACACTGAAATATCAGCACTAATCCCTGTGTTAAAACAAAGGAGATTAGAACTGATTGAAGATGTACACTGACATGTATTAATGAGTACAATTTATGACTAATATGGACTTTAAGGTGTCATATACATCAGGGATAGACATTAACTTTCAGATTCACTTGCCTTTCGGGCAAGTGATCTCAAACTTTGACTTGTCCAAATGCAAAACTTGGTTGCCCAAAATTAGGAAAGAAGAAAATTATGTTATGCTAAGAAAAAAATGTGATCAAAAAACACTTAAATGTATACCACTGTCCTTGTCGATCAATTTAACCTCTTAACACACACTGCCGTGCAGCAATAATCCTCCGTTTGCTTTTAATAAAAATCACATTTTTAAAAACTATTTTCGGTAGGATCCTTTTGTGAATTGTAATTTTCAGAGATATCTGTGAAGCAACGCTAAATGAAGATAGTTGCTACGAAACGTACATTTGATCAGGATATATCATGTTACATATTTGTAAGTAAATAAATAATCTAAATAAGTACGAAGTAGGTAACAAAGTTGTTGGAGGTTCTAGCGTATTTTACCATGAAAGAAATCGCAAAAATGAACCCGATTTTTAAATGAACGGTATAATCTAGAAACGTTACCAAGGAATTCCAAATACAAAAACAATGTCAGTCGGGTACCTGGCGGAAATCAAATGTTCAATTTATTGTTTATTTACAAATTAATGAAAACTAAATGATATATACATCTGTATGAAAAAATTTCACTTGCCCGATCGGACAAGTACTTCGACAGTTTTACTTGCCCGAACTTAGAATTTACTTGTCCCGGGCAATCGGACAACCGTTAACGTCGATCCCTGTACATGTAGAAGAAGATTGATTACTACAGATTAAATTCATACTATATTAGATTGTAATTGTATTCCTTGCAGTTTTAAAACAGATACATGTGTATGTACATGTAATAAAACAATAGTGTTGAGATATGGGGAATTTCTGAATACAAACACTAGAAATGATTTATAAGGATTAGATATTGATACATAAATACAAACTACAGTGCAAAGGGAAACAAAAAAGAAAATTTATTGCATGATATTCTTGGGTTATTATTTGATGAGTGATTAGTGGAACTAATGGAAAGTGCTCTCTGTCTTTGGAGTAAACCTTCTGTAGCCATGAAGACTATAATGTTGTCCATATCTCTTTATTATTTTATTGAATTGCCCTGAAAAGGAACTATACTTGACTTGCAACTATCTAGACTACACGATGTTGTGATGTTTGGATGTGTTCATTGTTTTCCCATTAGATTTTGATTAAATCGGATATCTATGCAGTCTGGGTAGGAATCATCAGAGGTTCTGTAAGAGAATATTTGCTGTGGGTGAAAATAGCATTATAAAAATGGATTGATATATTATAAATAGACAGAAATTATTTGACCATGTTGACCTCACATGGTATTTATTGATTTTGAAAAAAATAGGCAAATATGGATATTTATTTAATTTGTTTTTGAATTGAATTTTGAAAAGTTCAAGGTTAAACAGTTGTTTTTGATGTTTTTTTTGTGTGTTTTTAAACAAATAAAGCCTATCTGACATTTAAAATCCCACCTTCTAAGTCCTCTCTATGATAAAATAAAGCCTATCTGACATTTAAAATCCCACCTTCTAAGTCCTCTCTATGATAAAATAAAGCCTATCTGACATTTCAAATCCCACCTTCTAAGTCCTCTCTATGATAAAATAAAGCCTATCTGACATTTCAAATCCCACCTTCTAAGTCCTCTCTATGGTGCAGGATGTTAATCATAACCTGTATATTTTTGCTGCATTTGTTGCTCAAGTTTCTTGGGCTTAAAAATTTCTGCCGCTAAGATTTATGTAGCTCGGCATGTTGCAAACATTATTTAAAAGATTTAAGAATTTTGCATTGGTATGGTGGTGATTTTTTTCTTCAGTTTTTATGTATAATACATGTATGTAGATTTTGTTTAAAAGATTTTAAAATGGACATGCAGACATTTCATTTAAAAAAACAGATTTTTCAAACACTCGCATTATGATACCACATGTTATAAAGGTGAATGATACAGAAACTTAAGTGACTGGTAAAGCATTATGTCTGCTTCGCCACCATTTTTAAGCTCAGTGGTCAGTGAGGATAGGCCATGCCCAGTGGGAGAAATACAGAGGATGCATGTAGGCATTCATTTCCATATGATCATTATGTAGATATTTTTTCATTTTATAAGTTAATCTGATATTATCATGAAAGGATTTTCTTCATAGAGACATTTTCCATGGACATCAATCATGTCCCTTATGGACATCAAGGGATCATAAACCACTAGCCAGTATTGGGGCATTTCCTTATTAAGAGAATATTCAACTTCTCTGGTCAAGCTGTTTGGCACATGTAAGAACATTACTGTCCATTGACACGTTTTGTTTCCTCACGTGCAAAATTTATCTCATGCAGATTTTCTCCTAGGATAGTCATTACTAGTGGACATAAAGAAGTTTTTAAGATGGTCACTGGTCAGGCTAATTCTCATGATTATTTATAATGCACAAAATATGCAGCACTCCCTGACTGTGCAAATAAAATAACGCCTCCCTTAACAGCACTACTGTTTACCTAGTAGTGCATGGTGATTGTTAAACTCAAGACTCAGCTATTTGTCCATACTCATTATAGTGTCATTATGATGGCTTTCTTCCTCCACAATTTTTGCAATGTCTGCATATTGTGAATATAATGATAACACCTCCCTTTAAAGTACTTCTGAGTTTACAGGACGAAGTGATCCTTAATCTCACCACTGAGAAAATCGGACATACTGGCAGCGGCACTCAATACATTCTGATTTTCTTAAAATAATTGTTAATCTCTCTGTGCAAGTTTTTGCACAATCTTCATACACAAAAAAGGGGGGAAAAAGAGTGGGATCATTCTAAAAATCAGATTTTTTAATTGATTGAATCAAATAGAATGATGATATTAAAATCCAGTTATATCTTAAATGTACAGATTGATTACAAATTAAACATATATTATCTGTATGTGGCAATTCATGAGTGCAGTAACCTTTAATTTTAAAAGTATGGTTTAAGAAAAGAATGTAAGTATTCTGAAGAAGTTTTGTAAAGGTCCTCTAAGTGGGTCATACCATAGAGATCATAGAAGTGTGTAAACTGCAGCAGGTGTGTCAGGAACAATAACTCTCCTAAGTTAAGGGTTTAATCATAAACACAATTGTAACACTTCAAAAGTCAATTCCCATAGATTTTTGTCTCTAAGCAGCACTTTGTAAAATATTTACTATGGTTAAAGTACAGTTTCACTTATTTTATTTGAAGAAGATGTTGTTGAATCACAGGTGCTTGCTCCCGGCGTGTAATAATCATTTATTAAAAAAATCATATACGGTAATTTAGTATTACCGTATATGATTTTTTTAATAAATGATTATTACACGCCGGGAGCAAGCCCCTGTGGTTGAATGAAGCATAACTCTTCTGAAAAAATGCTGCTAATAGTTTATCAAGAGCCATATGGGATAGAAATCATTTAATTGTACCAGGTCTTATGTACTAGATGTCAATTAACCATTTTACGATGTTCTTCAATGATTTTTAAAAGTCAATTTATTGAGGTCATAAGACCATGTACTTTTTGTAGACTGTACTGTGAATGACTTTGTATGAATGTAGAATACTGTAAACCAACTATTATTCACGTCTACTTTTATTTGCGATTCATCAGTTTAAAAACAACCCGCGAGGATTAATTTTCGCGACTGAGGAAACATTCTCTACAAATACTAGGAGTGAAACGGTTCACCGTGGTATTGATTCACCGCGGTATTTTTTCTCGGTTTGATACACAGTGCAAAATCTCTAATTTTCGGTTCGGTTCATTTTTCAGTCGGGATCATTATTCAGTCGGGTTTGGCATAAGGTAAATCACGTTACTCAGGATAAATAAGTATAGAAAACGTAAATTTTCGATGACTGATAGTTTGTAAAATAATTTTTGACAGTCACAGAATTCTAATCAATTTCTTCTAGTCAATTTGCAAATAAAAACTCGTAAATTAAGTGACAAGATTTTAATTAGTAAAAGAAGTTAAAAACAAGGTTGAATTTGTTTCCTTCAATCAAAATGTATCGTACCGAAAATAACCGTACCGAGACAAAATTATACAATACGTATCGAACCACGAAGGAGGTGTATCGTTTCACCCCTAACAAATACAAAGCAAAATAAATGATTCGCGGTGATTAATATTCGCGATTTAAAGTAGGTCATGAAACTCGCGAATATTTCTCGCACGCGAATAAAAGTTGGTTTACAGTATCTGGCATAGCACTGATTTGGAATGAATTCCATACATATCCATTTTAAAATTGAATATGTTCATTGAAATTCAAAATCATTTTGATTATCTTAGTAATTATTTCACTTCTTCATTAAATGAGCATAATTAATTTCTTTATTGATAATGAGAGTAGTAATCTGCGGTCTTATAAATCAAAGGAGCGGGTGAAGTGCACCTATTTATGATATACATGTAAATGTTTACAAACAGAAAGAAATCAGCCAATCAATAATAACCTTTTGATGTGTCTCAAAACAAGTAAAATAGTTAATAAGGGCTAGTTAATTAATCAAGAAGAAATTAAGGATAGAGCACCCTTCTATTTGAAGTAAGTATTCTACCTGCATCATAAAATAATTTTCTGCTTTTTTGTCTTTAATATGATGTAGTGGTACATTATTTTAGCATGTCTTATTAGCTGTTTCCATACATCATGTCTGCAACAAAGACTGCTTTCAAAATCACAGCAACTCTTTTTAAATATATTGCCCAAATAGAAACATTATGTTTCAGATTTTAGATACAAATTAATGCCATATAACAGGTTATTATAACAACCAACAAATTTAGGGATTATATCCTGAAAACAGGCATATACTATTAATAATATATCATGTTATTAATGTATAATTATAATTTTTACCAGTATACCATGTAATTATCACCCTGCTTTCCTGTTTTTTCTCCAGTAATTGAAGATTCAGGAGCGTATAGTTTTTAGTTTTTCCATCCTTCTGTTTAGCCGTTAGTCTGTTTGTCCACAAAAACTTATCCTTGCCAGTAAGTTTTGAACAATTTGGGCTAGGGCTTTCATATTTCACATGTTTTACTTTATTTCTTGTGACAAGATGTTTCTTTGGGTACCAATGTGTTTGACCTCTTGACTTTGACCTTGGAGTTTGACCTACTTTTGCAAAATTTTACCAAACTTTAACCTTATGGCCATAACTAACTTTTGCACAGTTAGAGTTATGGCTTTTATATTTCACATTTTCCTTGTGACAATTCCTTTCTTTAGGTACCAACATTTATTTAAACTCTTGACCTTGACCTTGGAATTAACCTTCATTTGACAAATTTTAACCTTGGCCTTTAGTTGCCATACATGGGCATCAGTGGTTCACAAACACATCTTGGTAATCTAAAGAAATTGAAGAACTCTGCCAGATATTATAACAATTTAATATGTTTATTTAATCATGTATACATATAATTGTTTTACAATTATCAGAATGATTGATTCAAACATGGTTTACATTAATTAAAAATTTTCTAGATAAATTAAAGTCAAGGTAAATAAATATAAAAAGAATTGTTGCTAAGTTCGAATATATATATTAAAAAAATTCAAACCTATTTTTTTTTTAATTAGGAAAATTACTAGTTGTTATAGAAACTACAGAGTACAAGTCGTGTTTTTTTTTTCCCCCAAGAAAGTATAAATTCTCAGTTGATATAATTATGTGAATTATCTGGATTCCAGATAAATTTGAATGTACTCACTTCTTACATCCTACATGTAAATATAAGACTCAGTTGTGAGATACCTGACATAATAAGGTATACATGTAAATAACAGAAATAAGTCAAAATGATGAGTAATGGAAACAAATAGAACAACGAGATAATATCCAACATGATTGTCTGAGAGAATTGTTTCTTATGCATGTATAAATATCAGATTCACCCCAATCATGTAGTTCTTGACATCCTCACACACAAACACACAAAATTCTCTGTAATTTTCTGTTACATACTTGGCTGATTCTTGTGAATGACAGTGGGATGTATATATATATATATATATATATATATATATATATATATACAAATCATGGGAGATCCTATATATATATATATATATATATATATAGGATCTCCCATGATTTGTAGTTGGATATGATTTTTATCCAACGAGTTGTGTGTTTTTTTATCCCCGAGCCTTGGCGAGGGGATAAAAACACACAACGAGTTGGATAAAAGTCATATCCAACTACAAATCATGGGAGATTCTTTTTATCCCATGTTTAATACTTCACAACCAATGTTTTACACTGTTTTATATAGGACTCCACTTTATTTTACTTCATCGCGCTAACGCAAAAACCATTGTGACGTCACAACTGTGGATTATGAAAAATTTATCCAATGAGTCATATCCACGGGATAAAGGGGTAAACATGGGATAAATATATATAAATATATATATATATATATATATATATATATATATATATATATATAAAATTTGTGCAATAAGTTCACATTATCATACACTGTTTAAGAGAGGTGCTTAACACAATATGTTATGAGGAAAACCATCATTTCCAACACCCAGATGTTGATACAATGTTAGGTATTATAAGTATTATAATGTCTTAATTACCTATAGGTAGCATAAAGCATTGGATGGATGTCAGATGATATATAGTACCTGATAACTTCGCAGTTTTGACTTTCTGTGTCATTCCACTGTCAGATGCCATATGTGTTCTGAATGTTTTATGAATTATGTTGCTGGCATAAATATGAGTTAAGGATTTTTGGCAATATGAAGTATGATTTGAACACTGTACTCTAAGGGGAATTTCTATATGAAGAGCATACGAGATAATGGTTTTATTCTCTTATTAATTACTTGCCCTTTAAGGATAATAATTTTCACTTCTGTATTTTGACCTCTTAGGTAGCAAAGTAGACTCTACAAGCATACCATCTGAATAGGTTAGATATATAAGTATGAATAATAAATCATCATTATTTTCAGGGCATTATCCCCTTGGCTAATGTATTGCACATTTCCATCTTATTTTGTGACCTACATCCATAAGAATTTCCATAGGTAAAACATATGTACCAGCTTCCACAAAAACTTGACTCCTGTCTAACTCTTTGAATCATCACTGAATAAAATATATCACAGACATTTTATAAATCCCATTTTTGTAATTCCATTGGAATAAAGGGGAGATAATTAGGAATATCAAACCGGTGAATCGGGAGGTTCACTGTTCGATGTCCGACCATAATCATTTTTTTCAAAAGTCTGAAATTCAGGTTGCGAATAAGGATCATAAGTCTCGTGGGGATAAATCATCCTATCATTATTTTGTTCTAAGATACCATTGGCTGACCCATTGTCCTCATGGTGATCAGGATATTTATTTTCAGATTTAAAAAGTAGTGCAAGAAGGCGTATGGCTAATTCCACTAACTCCATAATTGTTAAAATGGATATCCCCATCCATAGTCCCAGTGTGCCACCAATATCAGACAGCAAATCTGCTATATCATAGTCAGCCATCTGCTTAAATTCAATGACACTTAAATCCTCTAAATAAACATTTAGCCGAAGTAGATTTTGATGGATTAGTTGTGTGGCTCGAGCTTGCCTTTGTCGCTCATCCATGGGTATATCAGCATAAAGCATTTGTTGTTGATTTTCCTTTGTCATATTTTGAGCCAATGGTTCATATTTTTTGATAATTTCATGGAGATTGTAGTAAGCCTCAGACATGAAGGAGTTGTTAATTCGAGTAGAATCCTGTAAAATCCCGTAGAAATTCTGTAATGCATTATACTGGTAAAACTCCAGGGGCCAGTAGGACAGCGAGATAGATTTTTGGTAGGATGTCTCTTGACAAGGTTGGAAGCACTGACAGCCCACCTCGTAACTCCGATCGTTTGAGAGACGGTGTAGAACCTTGACCTCGCAGTCCAACTTCCTGTTGTACAGATTCGTCCTGTTGAAGGTCCCTGTCTTAGTGAGCTCCGTGTAGAGGGTCTGCCAGTTCTTGAACGTTCCACAATAAGATAGATTGCTTTGACTTTGTGTATGTGGAAGTCCTGATGTCCTACAGTTGCACTCTTTGATCACAATCTCCTGCTTACACAACTGAAAACAGGAGAATATTGTGTTACGATATTTTGGATTTCTCTTCAGTCGATCATATGTACAATTTCCATATGGATATGCTTTCCTAGAATTCATGACAGCTTTTAGACCAACAGATGATGAATACCCAGGAGGAATATCAAATCCGTGGTCCATGGGGCTAGGCATTGTCTCAGGGGCATGGACCTGAACCCTCAGTCCAGCCGTGTGGCCAACATTACTCTCCTGGTTGTAAAGTCCGTAACTCCCTAATGGGGGGTCGTCATTGTCGAGTGCCATTACGATAGACAATCCATGCTGTGGCCCTGTAGTGTGCATATATTGCATGCCCTGCTCGCCTATTTTGCTGTTGAATGTGTAACAGTTGTAGTAATTTTTTCCATCAAAATATTTTGTAAAATTGTGAGGGTAGCATGGCCTTTGATTAAATCGGCAGTGTAGAAGGGTGTCATTTATTTCATGGCCCACTATATGGGCCTCCTGGAATAAGTTCTCATAAAATCCTTGAATGGATTCCACACGAGAAAAATGTTCCCCAAACTTTGCCTGGTAAATAAAGTTAATCCAGTTAGTTATGTCAAGGTTTTCATTCATTCTTTGCTTTAGTTTGGTCAGAGACAGAGCCTGAGTGTTACAAATCGTTACTGAAGGAAACTCCACTGGCATTCCGTCTTTCATTTCGGAGACTTCCACTACGTTATATTGTAGGTATTTAATTACAAGGAAGGACAGGTGAATCGCGGCGGCGGTAAATCCGATAATCACAAGCAAGGACCACATGACTTTCCGTTTGGTTTGCAGTGACATGGCAATTTTGGCGAGGCCATGTGCATTACTCTCGGAGCCCAGTTCCTGTACAATGGCTAAGGCTGTTTTGTGGGGTTTCCTCCGAGCATGAATGTCGTTTGGTGGCATCTTCAGGTGGTCGTGGAAATAGTTAAACTTTCCTAGAGGTGAAAACTTCATGTGTTCTTTATTCTGGCCCCTGAAATAGACACAAAAAAGATATATATATATATATCATTAGGGTTTGTTTTTTTTTTAATAGATTGTTACCTAAATGTACTCAAAACCATGTGCATTTATGATCATTTTTAAAAGAAATTTCTGATCAAACTATTTTTTAAAGTTTCCTACCATATCAAAACTACATATGTTACATGCTGGGAACATATTGTAAAGTATTCACACCGACCTTATCTACATACCGGTAGATGTTTTTCCCTGATAAATCCTCATTTAAATAATTTAATATGAAACTTATTCCTTTCTGTATCCAGAATGTGTATTGTTTAAAAATATTTCAAGTTTAGAGACTGTAGTTATTTTATAAAATAATAATGTGACTACTCCCATACCCTCCTATCTGATTGTAGAGAATTCTAGATACTGTTTTAATTGGGTTCATGCAGGGAGATTAATTATAATGTAATTGTGTGAAATCTGTTTTATTCTTTAACCATTGGCTGATTTCTCTAATAAGGATTCTTAGTCAGCTGTCATTTATGAAAACTTTCATTCTCAGTGCAAAATCACTTCTGATGTATGAGTGAATTATTGTCCTTTCCAACTAAGACGTGTTTTGTGAAGGAGGGTTTCATACTGGGCGCATAAACCTTATCAAAAACGAAGACGTAAGAATTTTGCCTGACATGTCAAGGTCCATAATGAATATAATCTGAATCAATATTCATTCCTGGGATTAAAAACAGGAAGCACAAAAAACCCAGAAACCTGTTTTGAGTTTATAGCTTGACGTAAAGAGATGATGAAATATTTTTTCCATTCATTGTTTTCATACTGCACTTTAACTTGCATAATTCTCATGAACCCCGCAAAAAAATTCTTTTACTGAAGAACTGGAGCTACATTAAAACGGAAAGCAATATTTACAATTATATCAAATCTCCGCAACTCAGGATTACACCCAGGGTAATTCTCTCCCCTGATTGTACTGCTTATAAACAATGTTCTTTGTGTCAGTGTAATGTTGATACTATGTAACATACCATTAGCCAGATATACGTCAAAATGAATTCACCTTTATTGTCAAAATCATCCTGTCTGACATTGTTAAACATCAGTAGGAACATGAAAGCCTAGGATATAAGGTTGTCTCCCCTTAATTAGATTGTAAATGTACAATTTATGAAAATAATTCCAAAAAATTATTTCATCAGAGGTAACTCTCTGGTCTTGCTCTGTTATTGATGCGATTGCAATGAATGACTAATTATCTGACATTCATTAATTTAATTGATATGACGTACAAGTTGGGGATAACAAGGATATATTGGATAAAGGCCATTAAGATGTTTTAACCTCAGTGATAAGATTTTTTACATTCTCACAACTGATTCTTTATATTTATTTGAACAGTGAATTATTTCAGGTAAAGTAAAACTCAGTTATAGGCAAGTCCTTGGGACCACTGAATTTAGTTCGCTTTATCTGTAATTTATTATATCAGTATAACGAATTCATTAAAATATATAGATAGCGAAATAGCAATATTTACATATATACCTTCAAGTATGCATGACTACTGAATATGTACAGGGAGGTATTAGATATAAAACTTAACCTTTGATTACTAAAGTTTTCTGATGAATTGAATGTCAAATACAAATACTTATGATAAATAATGTCACTTCAATATTTTAAATTTTCAAATCTTTAAAATTTGTTACAAAAGATGCAAATATCGTTTATTTCTAACCTGTATGAGACACAAAATCACTTTGCTATATCTGTAAATTTGTTATATCAGAGTTGGTTATAACTGTAAAATTCTACAAGAAATTGTTAAGAATTTTGCCTGGGATCTCAAAGAACTATCACTACATCTGTGTTTGTACTAAATGAGTTTTACTGTTATAGTATATTTCTTTAAAAGAGTGCATAACTGTAATAGGTGTAGTTATAATTATACTGTTGATCACTATATTTTTCTTACACCTTATTCACGTGAGATGTAGATACAATTTAGTATTTGTAAGCGAGACAAAATTTTCACAAATTTTGATTATTGTTGGATATACATGTAATCATTGACGATAAAAATTGTGAGAATACAATTTTGGTAAGCAGACAGTCTTGTGTAATTATGCAAAAGAAAAGTTTTTCATAACTCAAAAGTAATGACACAAAAGTAAAGTTTTTTTAACTTAAAAGTAATTACACAAGAGTAAAGTTTTCATAACTTAAAAGTAATTACACAAGAGTAAAGTTTTCATAACTTAAAAGTAATTACACAAGAGTAAAGTTTTCATAACTTAAAAGTAATTACACAAAAGTAGAGTTTTCATAACTTAAAAGTAATTACACAAAAGTAAAGTTTTCATAACTTAAAAGTAATTAAACAAAAGTAGAGTTTTCATAACTTAAAAGTAATTACACAAAAGTAAAGTTTTCATAACTTAAAAAGTAATTACACAAAAGTAAAGTTTTCATAACTTAAAGTAATTATGCAAAAGTGAAGTTTTCATAACTTAAAAGTAATTACATAAAAGTTAAGTTTTCATAACTTAAAAGTAATTACACAAAAGTAAAGTTTTCATAACTTAAAAGTAATTACATAAAAGTTAAGTTTTCATAACTTAAAAGTAATTACACAAAAGTAAAGTTTTCATAACTTAAAAGAAATTACATAAAAGTTAAGTTTTCATAACTTAAAAGTAATTACACAAAAGTAAAGTTTTCGTAACTTAAAAGTAATTACATAAAGGTTAAGTTTTCATAACTTAAAAGTAATTACACAAAAGTAAAGTTTTCGTAACTTAAAAGTAATTACATAAAAGTTAAGTTTTCATAACTTCAAAGTAATTACACAAAAGTAAAGTTTTTGTAACTTAAAAGTTATTACATAAAAGTTAAGTTTTCATAACTTAAAAGTAATTACACAAAAGTAAAGTTTTCGTAACTTAAAAGTAATTACATAAAAGTTAAGTTTTCATAACTTAAAAGTGATTTACAGTATTGAACTTTTATTACCCTCTTGTCAAGATTATTAAAATATTGCGGCAGACTTTAGAATTTTGTTTTTTCACATAAATTAAAATGTCTTATAATTTTTTTCAACAGACTCATGGTGAAAATAACTTTTCCTCAAACATTATCTCTTTCTAATTATAATTATGTGTAGATGTTTCTAAGGGGGTTAATTGTACTTCACAGTATACAATACATTGTATTCATTGATTTTTTTTTTGGGGGGGGGGGGGGGGGGAGGGGGATGACTTAATGCTTTTCTTGGAATTTCAAGATTTTACTATAAAGTAGAAAACAGAAATGTCAAAGAGTTGAAGGACCTTAAAGTGTTCATTATCCAGAAATATGTGCTTCACTGGGCTTGTTATAAGTTGGCTAGGAGTTCCTCTTGAAAGTGGTAATATTAAACCTAAAACAATCAGAAAGATGTTCTACAGATGTTCTACTGTGACCTTGGTGAGATCAAACGCTGGTGACCTTATAGCTTAGTGTGGATTCAGAATTGTTTAATTATGGGATTTCTTAATTATGCCAAGTATGCTTTTTAGAAGGTGATTTTAATCAAGAGAGAGAGAGAGAGAGAGGGAGAGAGAGAAAGAGAGAGGATATTCCACCTAATGAAAAGGATGATTGATGATTGCCAACTGTATTTACAAACCAATGGACTCGGATATTGTAATTTAAATCAGAAAGAAGCTTCTTTCAAGATTGGGACTTTAGTTTAATGATGCTAATGATTTACTTAAGAGGAAACTGAAAGTTTTTAATCCTGGAATTTAGACAAAAGAAATGACTTCACAGACTCTTTTTTTTAGTGATTACTTAATTGACAGTTAACTCCTAGTGCCTGGAGACTTTCTGATGAGAGAATTCTTTGATATAGTGTGTCTGTTCCTATTTAAGTTGGCACATCATACCTCCATCAAAATGAAATCAGACTGCATGAAAATAAAACCCTTCTAGCTGTGAAATCATCAAGCTTAATGCTTCTGTAAGTGATGAAATTTGTTTGTGATTGTAGGAAATCCCCCACCCCCTCCTTGTTTTCTTTGATGGACCAGTCCTGGTGGTCTGGATTAATTAATATAGAGGCAAATGATTATATCAGAACTAAAGAGCAGAAAAATTATCATAAGTCTTACAGAATTAAATTTTCATTATATATAAGTTAAATTTGAAAGACAAATAAAGATTAAAAGATAAATTTAAAAAAAAAGGGACTGCATAGTTAAATTTTTGTCATTTTTTAGCAATTTTGAAATCAAAATTAGTTTGTAATATTCCAGTGAATTAAAAATAAGATCCTATTATTTAAACATCTGATGCTGATCAACTTTACATAGGTTAAACACAAAGTAATTCAAATGGGCTATCAACCTTGCAGTATATTAATTGAATCTATAAATATTGCAAATATTTTTATTATTTTCTAAATGTTTTTTTTTTTGTTTTAATATTCTGGCATTTCAAAGTAAGGTTTTATGTTCTATGACCCTATGCTGTAGTGAAGTCTACATGCATCAGATCTGCTTTGCGTTATAAAACATCAGTTTTTCATCCCACATCAACATCAGCCATGTAGGAAGTGTTTGTGTAAATATTGAGCAATTGTTTCTGATTCCGAGACCTCGAGCAGCAGGTCTAACCTTTGAAGCCAAAACAGAAGGGAGTTATAAATCAAACATAACGCCAGCATGCAAGAATAAATAATCAATTGTAAAGAAAATTTTTGGGATTATTACAAAAGCACAGTCTATAAAATAATTTTCATAGGAAAAGTGTTTTAATCTAAACAAGAAATTCATATCTTTAGTTACAAGAGGTCTGGTTTATATTGAATTTTAGAAAATGAATACAAAGTGTACATTATTTATCTCATTTTTTGAAAGGTGTGTATTACTGCTGATATATTATCATCCAGTGATATATTATAAAAAATTAGATATTATCCCTAATTGGCAACCCCTCTTACAAACTTGATACTAAGGTTAATTT